TGAAATCAATGACACTGCTCTGTAGTTTCCACACTCAGTTGGGTCACCTTTCTTTGGAATGGGAACAAATATAGATCTCTTCCAGTCAGTTGGCCAAGTGCTTGTTCTCCAGATTTCTTGGCACAACTATATATAATATTATAATAACCATCAGACCTCAGCTAGGCAGTGTGAATACAGCAGCTGGGCCTGGGAGGCAGGGAAGCCAAATATCAATGGCAGAGGGGAGCTGAAGGTGCTAGAGGAGCCCATAGCAATCAGAAAGGCTTCAGGGAAGAAAGGACTTCTGAACGGAAGACTGTGGTTGACATGGTGGTCATAAGAGAATGGCCGTGTGTTGTAGGCAGAGAACTGAGGTGAGATGATTCTGTGGAGTGAGAAGAACGTGTGAAAAGCTTTGCAGCAAAAGGATAGATAGAGCAGAACCGGGGAACTGAGTGTGCTATGGTGGAAGAAGAGGCTGGATCCGGTTAGACGATGCCTTTTAAGTAAAAGAATTTTTATACAGCCTGTGAGAGCCATGGGAGAATTGAAAGTAGGGAAAGGACAAAGAAAATGTATTGGGTCTATATTCCATAAAGCAATATTCTTCTTGTGCCCCAGGATGGTCAACCCTGGCTGGGAACATCATTCAGTTCTTGGGACACTGATGTGTGGAAAGAGGCTGGGCATGGAAGGAACTGAGTACTACTGAGCCTCAGAAAGCAGTTCTCTGCTTTTTTAATTTTATTTTATTAATTTTAATGAACATTTACAGAGATTTTGGATTTCCATACACTCATTGTTGCACTTTTCTCCCTGCCCAGAAGGATTTCAAGAAAGCAGATTCCTACCTCTTGCCAGAAATTTATTTTTCAAAGACCATGGCTATTATAGCTGCCCTTCATACTTCAGACTTCTTTTTTTTTAAAAAAAATTATTATTTTTGTGTGCATGTACCGTCAAATCAGATCTGACTGATATAGGAGGAGATTGTCCCTCCTTCCCCGGCAGAGCATCTGGTGGATTCGAACCGTTTGCCTCTGGGATATACTTCAGACTTCTTGACCTGCTTTTATTTCAACATTGGTAGGTTTTAGGTCCAAAAAAGAGAGCCCTATGCGCAAAGGGACATTTTCCTGGCAGTATGTTGAGTGCATTGAATGCATCCTGTTATCTGGGGCTTCCGGGTCAGCAAAGAATATAGTAGAGGAGGTTAGGCTCCTGGGAACACAGGAATCCAGAGACACACACACACACACACACACACACACTCTCTCTCTCTCTCTCTCTCTCTCTCTCTCTTCCAATTTTGTGAGGAAAAACATAGGGAAGGGGTTCCTGAGCAGATCAAACAGCTTGAGGTGGGAGGCAGCAGAGGGAAGACAGAGGTGCAGTAAGCAGTTTGGAGAGGGGATGACCTGGGGAGAAAGGAGAGCCCTTGAACCTTGCTGATGTATCAAGAGGCTACCAAAAGCAAACAACACTCTTTGTCCATTGTCAGGTCAGACTAATACAGACCCAAAAGGGCAGGGTAGAACTACTCTCATGGGGTTTTTCAGGACTAGAAACTTTTATAGATGCAGACGTTCTTTCATTGAGTTCGAACTGTGCTTGGATCAGCACTCTGATGTTTAAAACACTGCGCCACCAGGGCTCCATAAAGGGCTTCACCAGGAGAAAATCTTAGAGGTAATCTGGAGCGCTAAGCCCCAATCACGGTCCACACTATACTTTCGGAGATAAGGCAATGGGGGGATAATCAGGAACTTGTTCAGCTGCACGTCTCTGGGCAAGTATATGCCCCAGTCTTTGTTTTCCTATGTTGATGGCCCTTGTGGGCGATTCTGAGGTCCGCCAGCACTGCACCAGCTTCAGTAACTTGTGACGTGGAAAGTGGTAACGACGACGCCTGTCTGCAGGAACTTGGACAGTGGGGGCGGGGCCGGTAAAAGCGAGGACCACTCACTCACCTCTACGTTTTGCAGCCGACCGGCGTTGCGCATGCGCTCACGGCCACCACCACCCCCAACCCGCGCATGCGCTCTTAGTTGGCGGGAGTTTCGGAAGTGGCGGCGGTCACCGGGTAGGAGTTGTCGCCGCGGTTTCAGAAGCGTCCACGATGGACCGTGGACAGCGGGCAGTGTGATCTTGGGCACTTGTTTCAGGAACGGAGGTTTTGGGCTGGACAGCCATAACCTGAGGTCAGAAAGTCTCAAATCTCTTTCTCCAGCGTCATCCCGGCCACTCCCGCCGCAGGTTTTGGCATCGGATCAGCCCCATTACGCCGCCATTTCTCTCGGCCGCGCCTCTCTATTCCGGCCACTTTGTAGAACTTGGGGTCTGGAAGCCAGAACATTGAGGGCTGGATTCGAATTCCACCTCGTCCCCAGTCTGGCTGCGTTAACAAACTTGCGCCAGGCTTTTTGCTTTTCTGAGCCTTAGTTCCCCCTCTGCGAAGTGAAATTACTATATATCTCCTAGTTTTATGGAACGGATGAAATACGATGATAACGCAAATAAAGCACCTAAATAGCGCACTTGTGACCCATTACAAGCGCTTAAAAATGACAGTTGTTGCTTTTCTCATCCTGGTTTACGTCTGTTATTAGATCCTAGACCATTCCCTCTTCCTGTTGTTACTCTTTCTTGTCACCATATATGTTTATTTCTGTTTACAAGGTATCCTCAGGTACTGATTTCTGTTACGTAGGAAGGGAAAGCCTGGAAGATGAAGAGATGGGAGTACAAACGCAGTCTAGTTGAGAAGACAGCCCTGTAAATAAACACGCCAGCCAATGCTTGGGAGACGGGGTGGAGCGCTGAGCTTTGCCAAGGGATGGGATATGAAAGCGTCACATTCGATCCAGGTTGAGAAAGAGACCTATTCTACAGGTTGTTTTGTTATTGGGAACCAACTCCTAACTGACCCACCAGTGGGTTTTTGTAGACAGTGAATCTCATGGGAGTTGACTGCCCACCTTTCTTCCATGGAACTGATCATATACAAACTGTGTACCTTTGAGTTGGCTGCACAACTCCTTCCCACTAATCCATCAGAACTCCCTACTTTTACAAGTAGTAGGGGAGCTCTGGTGCCTTTGAGGCAAGAAGCTATGCTGCAATCCTGAAGGCTTGTGGTTCAAGGCCACCAGCTGCTCCATGTGAGAAGGATGAGTAGTCTCCTTCCAAGCGATTAACTGCCTCTGAAAACCTGCTGGAGGATCTGCTATGGGTCGATTTTAACTCAACGGTACACAATAAAAACAGGACCAACATACATCAAAGATTCAAAAGTGCTGTGTAGTTAGGAAGAAGTTGGTGTTGTAGTGCTGTATCAGTGTGTATATAGACATTTGGGTTGTAGGGAGTGTGAGAGCAGGAAGGGAGAGGTTGGGACTAGTTTGTGAAAAATGTTGAACATACTTTAGAAAAATCTGTATTAAGGATGTGTTAGGTCCCCGGCATCTCCACTAAAAAAAAAAATGGATTCAAGAATAGCAATACTAGAAAACTAGTAGAGAGACTCTCCAGGGGGTTATGAGTGAACTAAACTACTAGTAAGGAACCCTGGTGGTGTAGCAAATTATGTATAGTATCAGGCTGCTAACCGAAGAGTTGGCAGTTCAAATCTGCCTACCACCGAAGGAGAAAGATGGACAGTCTCCTCTGTAAAGATAGACAGTCTCTGGAAGAAACCTGATAAAAGGTCAGAACCAACATGACCGCAGTGGATTTGGTTCAACGAGCAGACACTGGAGAAAAGAATTAGGAAGATTTTTGGAGTTAAAACAGGGAAGACTTTGGATCTGGGAAGTAAAGGCTTAAGAAATGTTTTATACTTTTTATTTTTAAATTTTATTATTTTTTGTGTATGTACCGTTAAATCAGATCTGGGCGGTAGAGGAGAGATTGCCTCTCCTTCTCCAGTGGAGCGTCTGGTGTATTTGAACCACAATAACTCTGGGATTGCAGTACAGCTTCTTGCCACTAGGCCTCCAGAACTCCCTTGTTGTATGCTTTCAACTTGGAACTGACTCATAACTGACCTTCCCAGTTTCACAGGAGAAGATTGCCCATCTTTCCTCTCTTCCTCAGTGTAACTGGTGGATTCAAACTGTGTACCTTTTTGTTGGTAGTACAATTCATCGCTCCGCAATCAGAGCTCCCTATTAAAGAGAGCATAGTTATTCGTAATGGGAAGACGAGGTAGATCAGAGAGCCGTGAACTGAATTAAGGCCTCCTGTTTGCTTTCAGTCAGTTCTGACTCATGGCCACCCTTAGGGCTTCCAAAGCTGTAATCTTGAAGTGAAGCAGACTGCTACATCTTTCTCCTGGTAGGTTAGTGAAAGCCAACCTTTCAGTTAGTGGCCTAGTGCTTAACAACTGTGCCACCATCAACACAAAATTACTGCAGTACAATGTAGAGTATGTTGTTGTTCCTCCCCCCCCCGCCCCGAGTATGTTTTAAGAGTGGTGGTAGTATTTCTAGAAAAAAAATTCTGCTGAAGTTCAGAGTAGATGATGACCCTTGGTGAGACGCTATTTGGAGGAGGTAAGATAGGATTGTGCTAGACCTTGTAGGAAAGGTGATATTTTCTGGGGAAGAGTTGGTTGATGAAGTGGGAGGGTCAGGGAACCTGGGGAGGCCAGGGTCTACTCTGGAGTACCAAAGCTGAGACAGGTGCTGAAATGTGGAGATCACCTTGTCTTCTGTTTTCAGGATTCTCCTTCCAGAATGATGTCAGTGACTCAATCAGAGACCGTTAAAGGTAAATGTTACAATGAAATTCAGTACCTCTTTCCTCTTGGGTTCAGGCTTTCTGGCTCCTGATGTATCTGGAATCACACGTTCACGTGATTGTGGAGCTCCTTCCTTGGTGTTTTATGCATTTTCTCATTTCCCGCTCTTTTGTGCTGATGTTTTGTTGTAATGAGTTTGATTTTTGTATCTTAAATTTTTTTTTGTGATAAGCACTAGAAGAGGAACCAGTGATGTCTAAGACTCCTCTTAATCACCAATTGAAATCAAGTCCTAGTCTTGTGGAACAGTGTGCTAAATCCTCTACCTCCCTGGAGATCACTCAGAGCATTTCAAAGGAAAGAATTCACCTTGACTGTAGCCCCAGAAAAGAGGGTTATTGTGAACTCAGCCACCAGGAAGTACTTCAGTCCACCTCCCTTCATTTGTATCCGCAAGAACAATCTGTCCATCATCAAAACAGAAGACAATCCTGGCGACGAGCAAGTATGAAGGGAACGAACCGTCGGAAGTCATTGCCTCCCGTTCACCATGGTATCACAGGTGGGGTGCTATCTACATAAGACATTGATGTTCCCACTCAGCTGAAAGGCAGTGAGGTCTGGCTGAAAGAGCGTAGGAGAATAGACTTGACTTTATTAGAGTGTGATTTGCAGCAACTTAGTTCTTTTGAATTCACTGAGCCTCAGTTTCCTCGTCTATAAAATGGATGCGCTACCCACCTTGTGGGGCTATTCTAAGATAATAAGTACTAATGTAAAATGCTTAGTAAGTGTTTAGTAATATTACTATTTCAGTCATATTAGTTGCCCATTGTAATCTTTATCAAAAGAAAAAATTGTAATTTGTAATTATTATGAGCAGAAGTGTTAAAGATCACTTCTTGGGGCTATATGCCTCATGTCCTACAATAGAATAGAAGGTGAATAGGGTTATATTTTGGGTTTTATAGTGGAAAATAGTTACAGAAAAATAGCTAGACTGAAAACTTTTTTTTTAGAGATGCCATATTTTAATGTAATTTGTATGATAGTAACTATCTTAGCAAAATGTTATGTAATGTAATTACAAAATGTAATGTAATTACAAAATGTAATGTGGAAAGTCTAGCATACTTCAGGAAGAACCTTCTAATGGTGGGGCCCTGAGCAAGCTACTTAGCTTCTTACCTTAAAGCTTTCTTGTGGAAACTGGAATGCTAATGGTACCCACCTCGTGGAGGATTGCATGAGGATTAGATGAGTTTACATGTGTAATATAATTTGGGGCACAATGTAAACTCTCAGATGTTAGCTGTTGTGATTATCAGCTCATGTCCAGGTGATCAGATGTCTAGAAGTCTAAGGAGGAATAAGTCAGCTACTAAGTCATCATAAAATGACTATTAACAATTCTCATGCTGTCTGCTCCATAGATGTGCCAAGAAGACCTCAGTAGTTCCCTAAGATTACCCCTATCTTTATCTCTCTTGTAGAGCATGTAGATGTAAAGTTCTGAATAACGGGAAATCACTGATAGTATTAAGATTTAGTTATTTCTGATTGTTGTGTTGTTAAGTGCTGTCGAGTCGCAGGCAACGCATAGCGACCCTATGAAGGAGAGTCCTCAACGCTTGGGTGTCTTTCAACCTCTCTCCAGTATTTCTGATTACCAGGGTTTTTTGATTATTAAGTACCTTGCTTTTCTTGATTTATAGCAATGAGAATTAAGAGAAAAAGCTAGCTTAGGCTAAGGAGCAAAAAGATAGGGATTTCTTAATAACTCATTAATAAACTTAATGGCAACAATTAAAAAAAATAGTACATACTTCCTGGAGTTATTTGAAAGTTCAGTGGCATAATTATGAAAAATGTTGATGGAGTTTGTCCAATTCAGGCCGATTACTCACTGTGTTACCTTGGGCAAGCTGCCTGTAGACCTTTTACCAATTTTACCTCAGTTTCATCGTCTCTAAAATGGCATTGGTAAGAGCTCTTGCCTCAAGGTTTAATGAGATGTATAGAAATAATTTACCTTATACCTTTTACACAACAAACATTCAACAAATACTTGTTACTGATTGTTAGAGGTCATTATAGAAAGGCAGCATGGGGAAATAACAGATTTTGTAATGGAAGTTACCTGTTACTTTTGGTTAGTGAGTTTCTACTAACTCTTGGTCTCAGGTATGTCATCTCCCCTCTGTGCTTCAGTTCCTTGGATGAAAACCGAGCTAGTCATGCTTACCTCAAAGAGATTTTTAAAGGACTCCTCTTAGGTCCTTTAGCACATAACTGCTAATCATACAAAAAAATAGTCAGATGGTGCCATTTCCTTCTAACAGTTAATATGAATTGTCCAAAAAAGTTTTATTATTTGTTATCTATCTTGTTTATTAAAAGTCACAGTTTTAATGTAATAACTAGAAATATTCTCATAGCCTATTTAAATGTTAAGTATTTTCATAGCATATTTAAGATGTGTGTATATAGGTAAATTTTATTCTTTTGTGTTTCTGGAAAAATGAAATGTGACATAGATGTGTGCTTCCCTTAACCAGACAGGGCCACCTGGGCAGTCTTGCCTTAAGCTGGACTATACCTCCAGGGAGGAGGTTTTCCAGTTTTGTTGCTTTGCTAAGTAATGGTCCAGCTCTTTAACATGGTATCTTATGTTAGCACTCAGCAGAAACATCAGTGTCAGCTTAGCAGAAAGTAAGCGGCTCGCTGCACTCCTCCTCTCCAGTTTCCAGGTAAGATGCTTGGGACTGGGAAATGTCATCTTTTTTAGGAAAAAACAAAACAAGCAAAAACAACTTGCTGTCAAAATTCAAGTAGAAATCAATACCTTAGTCCATTGGATAAGATTAAGAGATGCTTCTCCCTAATTTGAAAGCCCGATATAATCCTAGCCAACTGCTTTCTCCCTAAAACTAGGCTTTTTACCAATTCCCTTAGTGCTCCTGCTGCTAACTGAACAGCTGATAGATAATTTCCTCCATTGCAGCATTCTTTGCCTGGCAGCAGCAAATGATAGGAATTTATATTGGGTGGAGTTTAAAATTTAAGTTCATGTGGGAATTTCAGATCCAACTATATGTTAAGCCATTATGTGATTAATGGACAGTTTTATTTAAAGGTTAATATTTCATGTGGCAAATGAGTGCCTACATGATTGTAGATAAGCACTTAAGTCGTTTTGTGAATAAAAACATGGGGTTGATTCCTATGAGGTAAAGATTAAATACATCTCTGATTTCCAACTTCTTCAATGGATCTGATGCCAGCCAATGCCTTCCTCAGGACAGGAGTCACTCAGAATATGAATAGGCAGAAATAACGGGATCCAACTGAAGTGCGACATGAAGAGACACTTGGGCAAGGGTTGGGAAGGTCCCAGAGGCATCCTTCCCCCAGGAAGATCTCCTTCCACAGTTCTCTTCCAATCAGAGTTTCTTGAACTTCAGTGTTAAAGGCTTTTATCCGTCAGCTTGCTTCTTCTTGTTGCTGATATGTGCCATTGAGTCAAATACAACTCATAGCAACTCTGTGAACAGCTGTCCTGAGCCCTACCCTACCCTGTGCCATCCTCATCATCTCTGACACACATTTATAAAGTCACCATGTCAATCCAACTCACTGGGAGTCTTCCTCTCCTTCACCGACCTTCCATCATTTCCAAGCTTGATGACCTTGTCCAAGGAATAGCTTACATTCTATTGGTTGCTAGCGTGGCTCTTAGACTGATTCTCACTCATTAATACAAATCACCAGATATGGCCAGTGTAGCTCATTCACTCTAATGATTGTTTCATAGAGGCAGAAACAAAGGCTTGAGGCATAGTAATTTTTAACTTCGCAGCATGGCTTTTATGTGAATTAAGTGACTCCCCACTCCCACCCCCTTAACCGAAAATCTGACGGTGTGGTCTGACCCAACAGTTTACTCTTCATCACTTTGTTTTCAGGTGGTCTCTAGGTTAGAAATCCCCATTTACAAGTGTGTCCTGTAGTTAGAAACCAATCTCTGCAAAGCCTATTATAATAAATTCAAAGTGTATAAATAGTTAATAACAAATAGGCACTCCTTTGCAACAAGCTTCAACATGCTCGTATTGTTTTAAAGATGTTTTGGTGGACCTGAAAATGTTTACTTTTTTTTTATGCATTGAAAGATACATGATTGCTATTTATTAAGGTGGACTATTTGATTATTTTATCTATTAGGTGTGAACCACACCTAACTATTGCAATGTCAAGACAAATTTGTCTTAAAAACAAAACTGATTCTGGAATCCCAGGACTACTTATATGTGAAAAGTTTTAGATAGGAAAATGTTTAATTTTTACATTTATAAGACATTATACAATTATACAAACTGAGGAATGGCCTGAAAATCTTGGTGATTGTATTGACAGTGTTTTTCTTTCCTTAGTTCTCCGTTCAGAAACTGGAACCTTTCCTAAGTGGTACTAAAGGCTTCAATCTTGAAAGTTTTAGAGCCAAAGGTAAGCTACTGGGGTAAAAAAGTGTGGTTCGATCCAGGGCTGTCCCCTTTCTGAAAGTGAGCCAGTGTCATGCTCACAGAATTGCCATTCTTATTTTAGAAAATCAGAATCCATACAGAGATGCACAAGTGAAAATGAAGCCACCTCCTATCACCAACACCCAGTCTTAGCTCTTTTCCCAAGAAGCAGCCATAGTCAACAGCTGTGTCCTTGCGGAAGGATTTATTGCAGTTTCAGATACTTCTACATGTTTTTTAAAAGAAACGCAGTTGCACACATATTTGTCTTTTTTGCCTCATTATCTTGCAGTGTTCCACAACACACTTAAACAGATATACCTTAATACTTTGATAGCCATATACTTAGTAATTGCATTACATAAAAGCATCACATCTGACTTACCTAGTTCGGTGTGTTTTTTTTTTTTTAGATTTTGTTTGTTTGTTTTTTACTTTTTTAAAAATTAATTTTAATGAAAAGTTTTCAGAGACTTAGGATTTCCATTCTTTCGTTGTTGCACTTTTCTTCCTGTCCCCCACCATTCGCGCTTCTCTTTGAAAAGTAAAATTCTTTCATTGTTATACAGTCCTTCCCCCCATAAGTAGTTATTTTTTGATAGGCATTTAAAGTTCTTCCCAGCCTTTTACTGTTATAGTAAATTATATTGAATAGTTTTTTTTGTGCATACTTGTTAAGTTCTGGCCGGCGGAGTATGGCTCTTAGTAACTTTGAACAATAGATCTAAACCCTGTGCCATCTTCACTACCTCTGACACACTTAAGGCCATTGCTGCAATCAGTATGTCAATTCATCTCATTGAGTGTCTTCCTCTCTGTTGCTAACCTTCCACTCTTCCCAAGCATGATACCCCTTTCTAAGGAATAGCCTCTTGTAGCAACATATCCAAATTATGTGAGAAATTTTGGCATCCTTGCCACCAAGGAGCACTCTGGCTGCACTTTTTGTGAAATTAACACTTTTACTATGTATTAAGACCAATAGCCATTTGGCATATATGCAAATACAAAGATAAACTAGAATTATAGTTACAAGGTCAAAGGAAATGATAAGAATTACCAGATAATCTTTATAGAGATAATGGCTTATTCTTTGATCACTGATTTATGCCAGTGCCTATCTTATCATTTTCACCTTGTTGTTTGTTGTTGTTATGTGCCCTCCAGTCGTTTGTGACTCATAGCGACCCTATGCACAACAGCCCTAAACCCTGCTCTGTCCTGCGCCAACCCGCACTGCCTCTGACACACCCATCCTGATTACCCCAGTCACCAAATCAATCCATCTCATAGAGGGTCTTCCCCTCCTGCGCTGTCCTTCCACCCTCCCAAGCATGATGTCCCTCTCCAAGGACCCGTCCCTCCTGGCAACATGTCCAAAGTATGTCAGACGAAGCCCCAGAATCCTTGCCTCCAAGGAGTAGCTTGGTTTAATCCTCTCCAAGATGAATCTGTTTGTTTTCCTGGCAGTCCATGGTACATTCAGTACTCTTCCCCAGCACCACAGCTCAAAGGCATCAACTCTCCTTCTGTCCTCTCTAGTCATTGTCCAACTCTCTGATGCATAACAAGCGATTGCAAAGACCATGGCCTGTATCAGGCGCACCTTAGTCTCCAGAGAGAGACCGTTGCTGTTGAGTACTTTTAGAGAGGTCCCTAACAGCAGACTTTCCCATCGTGATACGCTTTTTGATTTCCTGACTGCTGGTGCCAAGAGTGTTGACTGGAGCCGAGCAAACTGAAGCTGTGAACAATCTCAATCTCTTCGCCATCCATCGGCATTTTCACCTACACAGTTTTATTGAACAGATTTTTTAAGACTATTCAGTATATGATAAGGGCATTTTGTGGTTTTCACTTACATTCCATTTTCTTTCAAAGGCATTTAAAATCTTTTTAGAACCATTTGTACTTTCTTTTTTGTGCTACTTTGTTAATTTCTGAGATGTGGCCTGTTTGTCTTCTTCCTATTAACTTGTAGAAACTCTTTATACATTAAGGAAATGTACTGTTTGTTTTCTAAGTTGCAAGTACTCTCTCCCAAGAATCCATTTCAACTCTAGGTAGTAGCTATTCTACCGACAATAGCTAGCAGAGCATCCACTAGATGCCCCCCGTTGGAGAAGGAACAGTTTCCGCTGTGTCCGTTGGATCTAGTTTGATGATACACAACAAGAAAGAAAACCAAAACTGATGATAACAACAAAAAAGTATTTGAAAAAGAAAAAAAAATACTGTTAACCACTTAGAAGATAAAAAAAATAAATGTGAATTTAGACTTACTTGCTAGTGAAAATGATTTCTCTCTGTTTATACCATCATGTCAATTACTGTAGATTTCCCAGCGTATCTTGACTGCTTACTGACAAAACCATTTCCCTCTGCATTCTTCACCTGAATATAATGATACACTCTTCAGGTCTAAGTTGTTTTGTGCTGCAGAGTCAGAACCGACCTGTAGCTGATTCTTCAGTGGATTTTCAGAGGTACCACTGCTCCCTTCAGGTGTAAGTGGAAGAGTTTTCATCTTATACCAATGACTTTGCCTCCCATATTTCATTGCACTCTTGCACATTTCCTGACTTTCCATTGCCATTAGGTTCATGTCTCTTAAAAAGAATAAAATGTCAGTTTTATACATTTTTAACTGCTTTTCATCAGTCAAGTAATGCCATAAAGAATTTTTTTCCATTTTATACAAGGAAGGTAAAACCTTTCTGCATATTTATACCATTTTCAGGGACAGATCAGGACTAGAATATGACAGGGACCATGAAGCTGAGGCAGTCTTAAGTGTGTGATATTTTTGTTAATAGCTGACTGTGATATTTCTTTATTGAAGTTCTTATTGTGATTTGAGTAAAATCTTCAAAAGTAGCTTAGTTTTCCAGTAAAAAGTTTATACACATTTTGTTCCCTAACATTGGTTATAATCTTCTCAATGTAACAACACTCTTACCTTTCTGTCTGGGTTCTCTGTTTCCATTTGTTCTTCCCTTCCTCTTCCTGCCTTCTGATTAGGACACATGGTACCCTTCTGGTCTTGTATGGCTGATTGTACTGAGGACTATATTCCTCCCTGGAATTATTATTATTATTATTCACTTTATGGGCCTGTGTATTGTTTGAAAGTTGATTCCCCAAGTTCAGTTCTAGGTGTGAAAATGCTAAAGGGCCATAGTCTCAGGATTTTCTTCCCAATTAAGTCTGGTACTGTGAAAATTGATAGGCTCTTTTATTTTCTGACACGCCATTTTATTCTTTCTAGCATCTTCTATTTCTGAAGAACTAAAACATTTTGCAGATAAACTAGAAAGTGATGGAACTCTTCAGAAATGCTTTGAAAAGCCAGAAAGGTAAAACAATTCCTTTTCTGTTATAAATTTTCTTTCTTTAAGATTTTTCACTTTAATTAAACAGTTGTCCATTCACTCAGCTTGTGGCTTAATTGAGTATAAAATGGGAATACCAGAACACTTGATTTTGCTTATGCAAAACCTATACCTGGACCAGAAAGCAGTCCTCCAAACAGAGCAAGGAAACACTGCAGGTTCAAAGTCAGGAGAGGAGTGTGTCAAGGGTGCATTCTTTCCTCATACCTTTTCAATCTGTATGCAGAACAGATCATTCGGGAAGCAGGACTTTACGAGGAGGAGTGTGGCATAAAGATTGGAGGAAGACACCTATAATAGCAACCTACAATATGGAGATGACATAACCTTGCTTGCTGAAAATGAAGAAGACCCCAAGCGCTTGCTGCAGAAGGTCAAGGACTGTAGTCTTCAATATAGATTGAAGCTCAACATCAAGAAGACAGATTCTCACCACTGCGCCAGTTGGCACACTATGACAGATGGAGAAGAGATTGAGGTTGTTAACAATTATAGCCTGCTGGGCTCCACAATCAACACTCTTAACACCAGCAGTCAGGAAATCAAAAGACAAATTGCATTGGGAAAATCTCCTGTCAGGAACCTCCCCAGAGTGCTGAAAAGCAACAGTGTCAGTCTAGAGACTAAGATACGCCTACTCTAGGCCATGGTCTTCGTGATAATTTGTAATACTTCATAGAGCTGGAGGATAGAAGAAGAATCGATGCCTTTGAGTTATGGTGCCAGAAAAAGAGGCTTGAACATACCGTGGACTACCAAGAAAATAAGTAGGTCTGTCTTGGAGAGGATGAAAACAAGTCTCTCCATGGAACCTAGGATTTTGAAGCTCTGTCTCACATACTTTGACACATGGCTGGGAGAGACTGGTTCTTGGAGAAGGATCTCATGCTTGGAAGGGTGAAGAGATAGCACAGGAGAAGATCCCAGATGAGATGGATTGATATAGTAACTGGGCAATGGGGGTTGGTGTGTTGGAATTAGTGAAACTGGCTCAGGACAGGGAAGAGCGGCTGTACATAGGGTTGCAGGTCACTCAGTGGCACATAACAACAACATATTGGTTGTTATTTATTTAACACATTGCTGCAAATGACGATAATACATCAGGGGGAAAAAGTGTTTCTAAGCATGCTTGTCAATTAAAAGTGTGCAGCAACGTGTTAAGCCTCTTTAGTTTATAGTCATTAAGACCTCTTGAGGGCCTTTGTATTTAAAAGTCAGTTGTTAATATATTTTGGAGAAATGTTCTTCTAAGTGGTTTAGCCCTCTTCTGTCAGTTTGCTGTACTGAGGTAACCTGGGGTTGCTATGATGCTGAACCTTGTGCCATTGGGGTGTCAGATGCCATACAGACAGTGTTTGGTGGAGCTCCCTGTTTAAGACAGGTTTGGAAGCAGGAGTGGCTTCCACTTCCTAAACAATATGCCTCTGGAAACTCTATGAACTTTGATAAGTAACGATAGTTATAGAACGGCTTCGGGTCTTTTGTTTATATGGTCACTATGAGGCATGCTTGACTCCATGGCAATCAGCAACAACATCATAATAGCAGAAGTAAATGCTTTTTGGGAAACATTTGTGTTAATCTCTTAATCCTTTTATGTATTCCAGAAATAATACAGATATGTCTCTGGAAGCCTCAGTGACTGAGATGAAGAAATACATAGAAAAGTGAGTGAAAATGGAAGAACCTTTCTTGGAAAATTTAAGCTCATTCTCCATATAGGGAAAATAATTAAATCTAGGAAAAATGATTAATAAATGGTCTGTTCAAAGTGTTGTTTCTGTTGGTGCTAGAAATGATAAACCTGCATATTGGAATTTCATGGGCTATATTGACGGCCAGTTTCATAGAATGGGATCTAGGTTAATTTAAGAAATCATGTTTGATTTGCTTGAATTACTTTGATAACATCTTAAAGATCTTTCCAGTCCTTACATGACTTTCTATTCAGACCTTAAAATCACAGGTACAAATCTTAAATGTGTTAGAGTCCTGAATGATTCCGAATGAGATACTCAACTATTAACTTTTTTTTTCTCATTGTACAGATTTTCTTCTGAACGTCACAGTTGGGACCAGCTCTTGCTTCATTACCAGAATGAAGCTGAGGAGATATCATCCAGGTTAGAGCTATGCATTGAAAATAGGGAGCTGTCTGTTTGCCTTGTGTTGTTTGATTTTAATTTGTTTCCATTTTGTTAGTTCAATTTTGGACAAATCAGCTGCAGAAGACGTCTTTAAATGTGGAAAAGCAAAACTGTCTCTTTGAAGACTAATGTTTACCTGTTTGAAACCACTGCATCTTCACTCACCTTGTGTGTTCAGAGACAGTTACTGACTAAAGAAGACCCACATAGAGTAACTGCCTTTTAATTAATGGGGTTTGTGAAGAACACAGAATGTATTGTAGACTGCCAGAAGAATGAACACTCTTAGAGGAAGTATGACTAAAAAGCTCTTGATAAGCATTGATGGTGAGACTTTGTTCCACATCATTTGGACGTGTTACCAGCAGGGAGCAGTGTCTGGAGAAGCTTGTCATTCTTAGTAGAGTATCAGTAGAAAAGAGGCAGAACACCGAGGGAATGAACTGCTACAGTGTTTCAACAGAGCGCTTAAACAGCAGTGATCAGGAGAATGGTGGAGAGCTGTGCAATGTTTCATTCTGTTGTACAGAGGGCTACTATGTGTCAGAGGCAGCTGAAGGGTCGCACCTAACAGCAATTCACATTGAATGGTGAATTGATTCAGACCCACCAATTTAGTAATCTTCTGTAAAGTAGGCTCAGAATAGAGCAGGGTTAAGAGCTGTTGTACGTAATAGGATTGCTGTGAGTCATAGACGATTTGATGGCACATAAGAGCAACAACAAAGTGTATTTTAGCGTTCTGACTTTAAGTGGGCAGTGAGAAGAAAAAGAACTGTCACTATTTTCTGCCTGAAAGCAGAGTTGTATCTAGAACTGTCACTATTTTCTGCCTGAAAGCAGAGTTGTATCTTGGCTGCTGTTTTATGTCCTGGGGTAGATAGGCACGACTCATCCCTGTACCTGACAACCTCAGGCACAGTCAACAATAACCAAAGACCAACAGTAAGAATATGGCCTTGGAATTGCTGGTGTAGAAGACACTACTAGCCAGGGCTTTTGTGGGTGGTCAGAGATTTGAAAGGAATAAAGAAAAAGGTCATACAGGGGAGAGAGAGAGAGAATCATTGCCTCTGGAGGATAAGAAAGGGGGAGAATACTAGATTTTTACTTAATTGGCACCTAAACCAGTGGTTTCAAACTCCATACCCCACCCCCCACAAACAGAATCTTGCCTAGAAACTGACTTCTAAAACAATAACCAAAACCCTAATTTCAAAAGCAGCTTCATAGTACAGAACAACTACTTATTAGGATTATGTTTTGTGAATTCTCTCCAATCTAGTCATTGAGCGTTGTCAGGTATTTTTATTTATTCTTTACATATTCTATTGATGAAGATAATGTCTCAGATGACTTGGGATATTTAACTTAGCTTATCAGTTAAGAAAGATAGTTGCTTATCTACAAATCCTAACTGCTTTTGAGTTATACAACCTTGGACAAATCACTTTTTCTGCATAAGCTTTAGGCTATTCATTGGATAATGGAGATAATGTTAATAGCTGCCTGACTGGGTTATTGTGAGTGTTAAACTAGTGAAAAATGTTTAGTGTCTGACACCTAGTAGGCGATCAGTAAATTATAATTGTTATTGTGGAGTCCTCTGACTTCTGGAGAGGGACAGAGAATCACCATCACTAACTTGAAGATGATTCCTATAAACTGGATTTGAAATAGATCTCTGCTCCAACCTTCATACCAATTCTGATACCAGCTGCCCTCTCTATGACAGTTACTTCCTTTGGATGCCATAATTCCTTACAGTGGACACACAGAACTCAGAGACCATACTGAGGATTATGAAATTTAGTAGAGAAGTAATGGCTACAACTTGAGATAAAAATCACCTTGGAAGTAATAGGAGCACCCCAGGAACAAGGTATGGTTTGTTAAGACAGCCAAGATATGGATTGTTAAGACTGCTCAACGCTGTGCTCACAAGCAGGCTGGGCCTCTCAGCTGTCCCTCAAGGCCGGGTCCTGCTGGAGCCTGGCCTCAGCCACTGACCTCTGCTCAGGCAAGTGCTGCATCTCTTTCGACTCTGCTATTAAGAGCTCAGAAGCATTTCAGTCTGCCAGCAAGCTCCCTGCCAACAGTGCTCAAGCTCTGGGAAGGAACCTCATTTGTCATATAGGGTTATCATGGTTGCTGCTATGGTCATGTATTGCCTTTAATTTTATACTTCTCCCTCCTGGGTCTCAGAGGTCCTTAATACATGGATGCTGGGCCTGGACCCCATGGATATATTTTTTACTCCTGGCTCTTACATATTTTTTTGTTGTTAACCGATGTTCATAGCAGTGTTATTCACAAAAGCAAGAAAATGGAAACAGCCCAAATGTCCATCAGTAAACAGATGGATTGAGAGATTGTGGTACATTCGCACGATGGAATACTATGCAGCATTCAGAAGCAATGATTTTCAAAAATACTAAATTATGTGGGAGAGGCTAGAGAGCATTATAGTGAGTGAACTAACTCAGTCTCATAAGGACAAATACCACATAATACCATTACTGTAAAAATAGGATAACTATTAATATATATAAATGTCCAAATGATGGAAGGAGACAGGGCAGGAGGTCTGGGGGTGGGGGAAGTCACGAGGTTGCAGTATTTGGTGGCTGGAAGGGAGGGGGTGAAGGAAGGAGGAAAGATCCAGTAGGATCTAAAAATGGATGAGATAATAGTGTTCATATATCAATGGTGATTGATTTTATGAGATATAATACATGGGAATGATCATGAAACAAAATGTGGTCTTTTTTTGTCATATTTTCTACTAACATTTATACAGTAAATTAACCCGCTATCACTTAGTCTATTCTCTTATCAACTTGATATGACAGAATGGAATAGACCCATAGGATTTCTAAGGCTATAAATCTGTAAATCTTTATGGAAGCAGATTGCCTTATAGTTCTGCAAAGCTGCTAGTAACTAAATTTGAACAACTGACCTTTTGTTTTGCAGCCAGATGCTTTAACCACTGTTCTACTGGGGCTCCTAATAAATTAGCTTTCCATTTAAAAATTGTTACACAGATTATTCATTGGCATTGGTTACATTGTTTTTATAGTGTGTCAATATTCATTAATTATTGCCTGCATAATTTATGTTCAATCTGGTTTTCCTGTCCCCTTACCTACCTTACCTATGGGGTATTTTTTTATTCTTTACTTTAGAGTAATTACCATTTGGTCTCATGGTAATATTTTTCATTTTATAAGTCAATCTGTTATTTTGTTAAAAAGATGACTTCAGGGTAGTTTTAGTTCAAGATATGGAGTATCTCAGTGCAATGGTCTTGAGAAATCTAATTTGAACTATTCCAGAAAGTCTAGATTTCTGTTATTTAATATTATTATTCTAGTTTATTTACAAAATTCAAATACATTGATTTCTTTAAAATTTTATTTCCATTCTATAGTTTTCTCCCTTTCTGCCAGGATCCATCTTTTGTGGTCCTCCTCAGACTGGCCATTAGTGATTGATTGCCAGGTATAATCTAGTTCTTCAGGTCCTGGATAGATGATGTCATTGGCTTTTCTTGGTTGTAGTGCAATCCCCTTTTACCTCCATAGTATTGCCTCATTTTTATATATCTACTCTTCCCTTCAAGACTACAAACTGACAGATCCCCTCAGTGGGCCACACTTACCTAATTTGCTTGGAGTAAATTTCCCAATCCCTTTGCAAGATTACAACCATGTGTCATCTTGCCAGAATTACAAACTCAGGAGAGAGTTTATAAAGAGAAATAGGTTATACTGGAGTTATAATCAGTTTTTATAAACCTGACATCCTCTTCATTTGAAGTGGGTAAGCATTTTTTTAAAAGAATTATTTCTTCTTTTTTAAATTATTATTAATTTCAGTGAACATCTATAGAGATTTTGAAATTCCATTAATTCATTGTTGCACTTTTCTCCCCACCCACTCACCCTCACCCCCAGTTCGCTCCTCTCCTTGAAAAGGAAAAGAAAAACTCCTTCATTGGTACACAATCCCCCCAAGAATTCTTTCTTAAAGTTCATTTTTTAAAAAATCTAACTCTTTAAAATTTTCTATCTTTTTGTTGTTGGGTTTTGGTTTTGTTTTTTAAATATGGAACAGTTCATGAATTTTCATATCATCCTTGCACAGGGGCCATGCTAATCTTCTCTATGTCATTTCAGTTTTAGTATATGAAGTTTTAGTTTTAGTATATGAAGCGAACACTTTGATGTTGTTTTATGTGCTGTCAAGTAAAAATCAACTTATAGCTGGACCGTCTAGTAAATTTTCAGAAGCTGTAAATCTCACAGGGAGAGATTTCCCGTCTTGGGAAACAACTGGTGAATTCGAACCCCTTGCCTCTGGGTTGCCAGCACTCTGTTTTCCTACTAGGCCACCACAGTTCTGTGTATCCTGTTTACTAATTCTTACTCTGCATTAAATGTTGAGTTGCTAACCAAAAATTGGTGATTTGAATCCACCAGCTGCTGTAAGAGAGATAGTCTTATTTATATATGGATCTTACTGTTAAGTGGAGTCATCTGACCTGAATTTCAACTGACTTAGTCAACTCTAGAATTACCTGGAGTTCGGTAGTATAAAGACATTAACACCAAATAATCTTTTTTAAAAAAAAAATCTCTTGTTAATAAGAAACCCACAGTAGAATGAAAAAATATTGATCCAAGTTAATACAACTTTCTAAGTCTTTTCCAGGGTGCTCTTTGGTTTACCTTCTTCAGAAAATAATTACCAATTTCTTGTTTTGTTTGGATTTTAGAAAATTAACTGAAGACAAAATTGTTGAAGTTGAAGTGCAACCTACAGCATATCTTAAGTCTTCTCAGAATGAGGTTCTAAATACAAAGCCAGACTACCAGAAAATATTACAGAATGAGAACAAGGTTTTTGATTATATGGAGTTGGTGGTGAGTTGGCTTATGTCTGTTTGGTTGGATTATTTAACTTTGCAGTAATTTGAACAGAACAAGGGGATATTGTTGTTTTTTTGTTTTGTTTTGTTTTGTTTTGGTTTTTTTTTGGGGGGGGATACTGTTGTTGTTGTTGCTGTTAAGTGCCATCGAGTTGCAGGCGACTCATAGCGACCCTATGAAGGAGAGTCCTCAATGCTTGGGTGCCTTTCATCCTTTCTCCAGGTTCATAGGGTTTCCGGAGGCAAGCTATTACAGAAGTGGATGCCACTCCTCCTTCCAAGCTTGTTTTAATTGGGGAGCTCCACACCACTCTCTGCACGCATTCGGTAACCAACCATTAACGCATTTGACACATCAGTGTCACCGTGTTCAGCTTCTCAGCAACCACAAGTGACCGCTGTACGGCAACTTGTACACCAGGGCTATACGACCCAGAGGAATGTCTGAACAAAAACAATGAAAGACAGGCCCGAGGGCCGCAGATTAAAAGTCATCCACGTTTGACTTGGCAGCATCGCTTTCTGTCCGTTGGGCCAGCTGATCTCGCTCTGTTGATGTTATTGTTGTTAAGTGCCATCGAGTCGCAGGCGACCCAGCGACCCTATAAAGGAGAGTCCTCGACGCTTGGGTGCCTTTCATCCTCTCTCCAGGTTACTACAGGAATGATGCGCATCAGGTTTGTAGTCTTTCTCTATAACTATTCAGTCTGAATGTTGACCAAGTAGTCTAAGAAATTGGACTGTATGAAGAAAAATTTAACATTAGAATTGGAGGAAAACTCATCTATGACCTACATTATGCAGATGACACGACTACATGACTGACGAAGGTGCTCTTGACCTAAGCCATGGTATTTTTATTTGCTTCTTGTGCTTCTGAAATTTGAACACTGGAGTAAGGAAGACCCTGGAAGAATTGATGCCTTTGAATGATAAGTTGGAGGACATTGAATATACCATGAACTACAAACAGAAAAAACATATCTGCCTTGGAGGAAGTACAAGCAAGGCGATGCTTTAGACTCATGGATGGTCAGATTTCTGCCTGAAGTACTTTGGACATGTTAGGAGGCCACAGCCTGTGGTGGGGAAAAGCTCATGTTTGGAAAAACAGAGTCTCAACAAAAGAGAAGACCTGTAATGGGATGGATTGACAGTGACTGCAAGATTTGGATTAAGAATTGTGGATATTAGGATGATGGCACAGGATAGGACATCGTTTTGGTCTGTTGTTTATAGGGTCCCTCTGAGTCAGAGTCGACATGAAACCTCCTAACCAAATATGAGGCCTCTCTGTGCTGACCTTTTAACAGATTGAAAGAAATTAGAGGGTGAACCATAAGTAGTTGTTGCTATGTGCCATTGAGTCGCTTGCAACTCATAGCGACCCTATGTACAACAGCCCTAAACACGGTTCTGTCCTATGCCAGTCTCATTGTCTCTGATACACTTATCCCAATCACCCCAGTCACCGAATCAGTCCATCTCCTAGAGGGCCTTCCCCTCCTGCGCCTGCCCTCCACTCTCCCAAGCATGATGTCCTCTAAGGACTGGTCTCTCCTTACAACATGACCAAAGTATGTCAGACAAAGTCTCAGAATCCTTTACCTCTCAGTTACTAACTGATTGGTTGGTAATTCAAATTTATCCATAGGCCCCTAAAAAGAAAGGTTTCAGGGAGAGGTGGTTAATCGTAGGTTTGATGGGTGGATGGAAGGGTGGGTAAGGAAATGGGATATATCCGGTGTGAAAAAACAATGTATAAGAGCTTTGTAAGTGAACCAGTATAAAAAGTTTTATTTTAAATTTAAAAAAAAAAAGGTTTGATAATTTGCTTCTGAACATTCATAGTAGTCAATACCCTAATACCTGGTATACTGCAGTTCTTTGTACCTGTGAGGTTGCCATGAGTTTTGATTTTTCTTTTACTCTGTAAAAGTAAAGGTATTTTAAAACCATAAGAATTTGTGACGTAATTTGCAGCATAGAGACAATTCATTCTATGTCTGAGCCCAAAGAAACCATGGGAAGAGCCGTTACTATGACAACTAAAAAGAGAAAATCACATAGTTTTCTGCTTTTGAGAGCTAGGACTTTCAGTTGTAGGAAACAGCCAACTCAAGAAGGCCCTTGTAAAAACAATAAAAATAGTAATAATTCCACCACAAGATAAAGGTAAACAATCCAGTTGCAAAATGGACACAGGATATGAACAGGCACTTCACCAAAGAAGACATTCAGATGGCAAACACATGAAGAAATGTTCAAAATCCCTAGCTCTAAGATGCAAATCAAAACAATTATGAGATATCATCTCACTCCAGTAAGAATAGTGAAATTCAACAGAGCAGCAAACAACAAATGCTAGTGAGGTTGGAGAGAAACTGGAACCCTTATTCACTGTTGGTGGAAGTGTAAAATGGTGCCACCACTATGGAAGGCAGTATGGCACTTTCTCAAAAAGTTGCAAGTAGAAATATCATTTGACCCAGTAATTCCACTACTTGAAATAGACCTTAAAGAAACCAGAACTGCCACCCAAGCAGATATATGCACACTCATGTTTATTGCTGTATTGTTCACAATAGCAAAGAGATGGAAACAACACAGGTGCCCATTAAGAAACAAATGGATAGAGAAGCTGCAGTATATTCATATATACTACATACTATATACATACATATATATTCATACTATGCTGCATTGAAAAACAAGGAACTCATGAATTGTACAAAATGGGTGACCCTGGAGGACGTTATGTTGAGTGAAGTATCTTATTCAAATACTGCATAATGCCGCTGTTATAAAGCAGGACTGACATCGGACTTAGGGAGAACCTAAGAAAAGAGGGGATAAATAATGTACATTGCACTGAAACAGATGAGGAGAGAACGGTGTAAAAGGAATATGTGATTAGGTATTTGCATGACAAGAGTCCGGAATAAGATCTGCATAGAAAAATTGGGGTGAGGTGGGGAATTGTACAACAGTGAACGAATTTTTTTTCAATGAGAAAAGCAAACTGGGAGGGAGGAAAGTGTGCAACAATGAATAAATGAATGGAAATCCAAGTTTTCTATAAACTCATTAAAATTTCGATAAAAAATTAGTAATAATTCTACTTTTGTCATGTTGATTCCAATTCAAGATGACCCTCTGTTGGATTTTTGTACTCATGCGAAACCTATACATAGACCCCAAGGCTGCTGTGTGGACAGAGTAAGGGAACACTAAATGATTTAAAATTAAGAAGAAAGTGTGTCGGGGTTGTATTCTCTCTCCATATTTATTCAGTCTGTATGCTCAGCAGATTATTCAGGAAGTTGGACTCTATAAAGAGGATTGTGGCATCAGGATCAGAGGGAGACTTAACCATAACTGGTGTTACACAGATGGCACAATCTTGCTTGCTGAATGGGAGGAGGACTTGCAGCATTTATTGCAGAAGATCAAAGAATACAGCCTTCCATATGGATTGAAATATTGATGTCAAGAAAACAGATTCTTACCATTGGACTGATAGGCAACATCATGATAGAGAAAAGATTGAAGCTGTCAACAACTTCATCTTACTTGGATCCACAGTCAACACCCTTGGTACCAGCAGTCAGGAAATCAGGAAACGTGTTGCACTAGGAAAGTCTGCAGTCAGGGAACTGTTGAGGAGTAATGATGTCAGTTTTAGGACAAAGGTGTGTTTTATTGAGGTCATGGTCTTTCCCTTCGCTTGCTATGCATCTGTGAGCTGGACAGTGAATAAGTATGACAGAAGAAGACTTGATGCCTCTGAGCTGTGATGTTGAAAAAAGAGTTCTGAACAGCCAAAAGAACAAATAGGTCTTGGAGAGGGTGCGGCCAGAATGATCTTTGGAGGCAAAGATGATGACGCTTGACCTCATGTACTTTGGGCATGTTGCTAGGAGAGTCTATTCCTTGGAAAGGTAGAGAGTGAAGGAGAGGAAGACCCTTGACCAGGTGGGATGACACGGTGACTGCCACAGTGGGCTTTAATGTGTCAGTGTGTGAAGATGACACAGATGAGGACATAGTTCAGATCTTGTTTCATAGGGTCTCTGAGTCATACTGAATGACACCTAGCAACAATAAAATTATAAATGAGAGGAGATTGTGTCATCTTTCGCCCATGGTGTGGCTCATAAGTTTGAACTGCTAACCTTCCAGTTAGCACCAAACCTGCTATGCTGTCAGGTTGCTTTTCCAGGAGCCGTACTGAGTAATAAGCTCCCTGGCCTTGTTCAGCTCCCTGCTAATTGGATTCCTTAACTGACCAAACCCCACCAGAAGCCAGAGGATATGATGTATTGTTATTAGATGTCATATAGATCTGGAGTTGGAGAATAATGGAATGTAGATACAGAGGAGCAAACCAAAAAAACATTGGGTAGAAATATTCCAACTGGAAAGAACAACACCCACAAAGCTCTTGTTGCTGTAGCTTGCCTAGCATCTTAGAGGAACAGCAAAGTCACTTGCTCCTTAGAGCTAACAGTTCTTGTTGTCTGCAGATGGATGAACTGCAAGGATCAGTGATGCAGCTGCATTCCTTTATGGATGAAAGTACCCAGTGTCTCCAGAAGATGTCATTGCAGCTTGGTAAGCATGCCGCTTGAGGGGATGATGGCATAGCCTGTTTTCTTTCGGATAACCAGCCTTTCAGACACAAAGTCTACTTCTGAACCGGAACTCCAGAGAGTAACAACTGTATCAGATGATTTCTGTAACCCCAAGTATATCATAGCATAGGGCAGAGTTCAGATCTGTTGTTTGTAGGGTCTCTGAGTCATACTTGACAGCATTTAACAAGTATATCAGAGATGATGAAGTGGGCACAGGAAAAGGAGTCATAGTTGACTGGACTGCACCTAATAACAACAGAAGTCCCACCATCAGCAATAATAATATGTTACAAGTATTTATGGTTAGTGGCAAATTTCGAGCTAGAAACTGTACAGAAGTACACTGGACAGAATGAAATACTCATGAAACTTAGTGCTCTGGTAAATCCAAGTCTGAAGAAAAATTTTGGGGGTTTTATTTTTTTCTTTAAGTATTGATTCAAATGACATTGACGTTGTTTGCAGCTTGTTAAAAATGTCTTGCAGACCTTTATTATTTGTTACATTGTTCTTGTTGTGTACTGCTGAGTCAGAACGACTCATAGCTAGCTGACCCTCCAGTGGGTTTTCAGAAGCAAGTAATCACACAAGAGGAGATTGCCCATCCTTCTTCCGCAGGGCAGGTAGTAGATTTCAACCACATGCCTGGGGGATTGCAGTGCAGTTTCTTACTCCAGGCCACCAAGGCTCCCTATTATTATACACACTTTAAATTTTTTATTTAACACAATCTGCTATAGGGAGCTTTAGTGGGAGTTGCACTGCTAATCCAAATGTGCCTCTCTGGTAGTTCAATTCCAACAGCAGCTTCACAGGAAAAAGATGAGTTGTTTCCTGTATAATTTATATCCTGAAAAGTTTTCAGTGATTATACTTGTAACTGGCTCCCCTCCTGGGCTGCCAACTCTTTGAGGACAGAGACTCATAACTTGTCGTTGAAGTGCACTGTAGTGTCAGGCACAGAAACCACATAGGGAGTTTTTAATAAATGTCATACGGATTCAATTTAAGTTTGAGATTTTTTTTTCCCTTTCCTTCTCCCTTCCTCTGCAGGGAAGAGAAGCATGGAACAAGTAGATCCTTCACCAGTTCGAAAACTACTTAAGCTTCAGCTGCAAAATCCACCTACCACTTATAGTCCCTGACCTTGTCATTGACTTTGTGTAGGTTTTCCTTGAAGAACTCAAGATGAGAGGACTGGGAAGTGTCCAGCACTTGGTGACTGGCTGGTAGAGCTGGTGATCTGTGACTGACAGTGTGGAGGCCTTTTAAGGTACCTAGGTGACTGTACAGCACTTTTTTTCCCCTCTGGAGTCCCAAACTATATCCAAAAGAACATTGTTACTCTCGAAGGAAGTTTGCAGAGAATCCTAGACTTCCCCCGCCCCCCCATTAATATACTAAGTATTTGAACCTTCTTTTTTAGAATGACTTTCAGAATGTCTTTGACAGGTCAGAAATCTTTGACCTCTGAAGATGTTTTACAGTTTTTTAAACAGTCCAGTCACTGTGAACAAGTTCCATGTTTGGGACTAGATTGGGTTCTGCATGTACAGGCCTTCTAGTGTGGCTTTAAAGATGACTTGATAGAAGAGCTTTGAGTGTTATTTGCATCATTGGGTCAAGTATATCATCGTTGGGCCAAGTGTAACATCATTGGGTTAAGTATACACAAGTGTGTTGCATCAAGTTTATCACTTCACAGGATGTCCTTTATTGAAGGAAATACCATGCATTCAGTCTGTCCTGATGTTTGTAGTGTACTTTAGCTTTTACTGTTGAGAGTTTAAACCCATGATGCAGAGTCAAAGTACTCTTCTTATGTTGTATATGTTTAATAGATTACATTCTAAAATTGCATATAATTTAAAAACAACCTTTTTGAGTATATAAAAAAAGGAAACAGCAAATAGAATTTACAAGAAAGAAATATCTCTGTTAAGAAGCTGTATTAATAGTAGTGTAGAAAAAGACCTCAACATTAATTACCAATAAAATACCAACTAATTTATTTTTACTGTTTCTTATTGTGAAGTTCGCCTAATGGGACAAACCTCATTTTACTCAACACTCAGTCATTATTTTAAATCTTATCTCTTAAGTACTGGTTGTGAGAGATTATCCTTTGACTTACTTTTTTTTTCTTTTATTTTACTGTCTTTGAGAAATAATCTCAAGTATTTTTATAGTGTATTACATATTGGACTGCTTACAAAAGGTTGGTAGTTTGAATCTAATTTTCTCCTTTAAAGTTAGTTTCAGAAACCAAATGAGGGGTCACCATGAGTCAGAACCAACAGCACTTGAGTTTGGTTTTGCCTTATCTCTCTGGGACAGAAAAATTAGATGGTACCCATTATCACAAATGACTAGTCTGATCAAGGTTGTAATAATAAATGGATCCCAATAGAGGGAGGGGGTAAGTGTAGAACAGAACTCTTAATTTGCAGAATGTTAAGATTTACTCAACTGGATGAGAGACTCCTTTAGATAACTTCAAGAGCCTTGAAATGGAACTACTTCTCAATGTCCCTTTTTAGCCAAATAGATTGACTCATCCAATTAAAATTACCATAAGTATCGCACACCTTTCAAAAATTATTTCCAGGAGGCTAAATGGTCTACAGTGAAGTCAAAGGCAACATGAACGGGGTAAGGGGACAGGTAAACCAGATTACCAGAAGGGAAATATCTGGAATGGAATTAATGTTGATGCATTATGGAAAATATAGCCAGTGTCTGAACAATTTATGTAGTAATTATTAAGCAGGAGCACAATTTGTTAACTGAAAATAGTTTTCAAAAAATAAAAACACACTACAACAAGATAAAGGTAAAAAACCCAATTGAAAAATGGGCACAGGATATGAACACTTGACCAAAGAAGACATTCAGCTGGCCAACAAACACTTGAAGAAATATTCAAAATCCCTAGCTCTAAGAGAGATGCAAATCAAAACAACGATGAGATACCATCTCATTCCAGTAAGAATAGCAAAATTTAACAGAACAAACAACAAATGCTGGTGAGGTGCAGAGAAACTGGAATCCTTAGTAACTCTTGGTGGGAGTATAAAATGGTGCAACCACTATGGAAGGCTGTATGACGCTTTCTCAAAAAGTTGGAAAAAGAAATACCGTTTAACTCAGCAATTCCACTACTAGGAATATACCCCAAAGAAACCATAACTGCTACCCAAACAGATAGATGCACACCTATGTTTATTTTGGCTTTGTTCACAATAGCAAAGAGTTGGAAACAACTCAAGTGCCCATCAACAAACATGGATAGAGAAGCTCTGGTATATTCACACAATGGATTACTATGTGGCATTGAAAAACAAGGAACTCATGAAATATACAAAATGGGTGGCCCTGGAGGACACTATGTTGAGTGAAATATCCCAGTCACAAAAAGGCAAATATGGCATAATGCCATTGTTAAAAAAGAACTGACATAGGGGTTGAGGGGGAGACTGAGAAAGGGGATAAATAATGTATACTGCATTGAAACAGATGAGGGAGAGAACTGTTTAAAAGGGATATATATGATGAACATTGGGGGGAGGGTTTGAATAACAATTTTTTTTTCTTATACTTTTAAAAAAGAAAAGCTAATGGGAGGGAAGAGTGGACATGGAGAAAAGTGCAACAGTGGGGTGGGAAATTTTTAAAAAAACATTTCCCCTTTAGATAATTGGTAATACTTCACTTGCCCAACTTTAATATGGGTGCATCAAACTCACTAATACCTAATATTAAACACTGATCATTTTGACAATTAAAACAGACATTGGGGGGGGGGAAGAAGAACGAACTGGGGAGGAGGGTAGAGAAAACAGTGCAACAATGAATGAATGAAAACCCAAAATCTCTGTAAATGTTCACTAAAACTAATAAAATTTAATAATAAAACAAAACACTGATCATTAAGCATTATGGAGCTCCGGACCGCCGCCCACTGGTTAAGAGAATTAGATGGTCAAATCCCCTAGCGGCTCCGAAAAAGATGGGTAAACTTGTGTGGTTTATAGGCTCGGAAACTACTGGAAGATCAGTTATAAGTGGTTTCTGGCTGGAAAGCAGTTTTAGCTGAAAAATCCTTTAGGTCCAGAGATTGTGTCCTAAAAAAAAAAAAAGATTGTGTCCTGTAGAGATTTTTTTATGCTTTTTATATTTGATTTTTAATGTCAGAAGATAAGTTAATAGATGATGTGGCTGGAAGGTTTAAGAGAATTGTGGAGAACTGAGAAGTAGGAGACCCTAGTCTTGGGTTCTAGATAAGCTGCTCTGTGCCTTCTGTAAAATTTATTGCCTCATGACCTTGGTGTTTCACTGGCCCCCGGGGCATAGGTAACAAAGGAATGCCACGCCTTCAGGGTTCTTTACAGACGAAGGATGTGACTCAGGGAAAGGAGAAAGCCGGCCTACACTCAACTCCCCTCCCTCCAAGCAGGTCTAGTTTAGGGTTTTTTCCCCCGAAGGGGCTCCTCAGGGAAAAAAACTACAGCCAAGAAGGCGCTCCGGGCCTCTCCGGGCTCGGCTGCCATTTTGTCGGTAGTTCTCGAGGCGGGCGGCCTCAGCGCGCCTGCGCGGGCCCGGCATCCTCAGCGCGCCTGCGCGGTCCCACCTCCCCCGCCCCTCTATCTGCCGCCGACGCTGCTGCTGCTGCTGCACTAACGGCGGTTCCCTGCAGCCCAGGTGAGTGAGCGCCTCATCCCGGCCCGCGGGTGGCGAGCGGCATGGCCCGCTGGGGCTTGGCTGCCCTTTCCTTCCCCCTCCCTTCCTCGTTTCCGCGCTGCAGTCATGGCCGGGGTCCCGTGCTACCGGCCTCCGGGTTCTCCCCAGCACTCTTTGCCCAGCCAGGCGGGCAGACCCCTTGTCAGCCGGGCTGAAGCAAGTCCCTCGCTCGGGTCTGGGGTCCCGCACTGTACGCTCCGATCGTAGCTCGCAAATGACAGGGGTCTGTCGTGCGAGCGCTCGACCCTTTCGTGACTAGAACCCGCAGCAAACACCTCTGTTTCCCGCTTCTGTCCTGCATGCGGAGTTCGGTGGGCCTAGGGTCCGGCCATTCATCTTCCCCGCCCGCCGGGGACACGGGGACACGGGAGTGGGGGGTTGTGGGGACGCTTATTGAATGGACTGTGAGTTCGCTTTGCACCCGTGTGGCCCCAGAGCTGCAAAGAGCACCCCCTGGCGGGAAGCCACCTTTCCCAAGCGAGGGAGAGTCCTCACTTGACTGAAGTGGAAACTGAGGCACGGGGGAGGTGAAGTAACATGTCCAAGGTCACGGTGCTGACAAGTGACACAACTCGCTCTTGAATGCCTCGCAGGTCAGCCAGTGCAGTTGGAATTTGAATCCTGTATCTTTTTGAGGAAAAACCAACCATCAGATAACTCATACTTGTCATTCTGGAGTTGCTTCTCGAACGTCATAAAATTAGGCTGCAAAAACAGCATTTTCTCGTTAGACTGGTTGAGGCTTTATTGTGATAATAATCATGATAGTATTAGAAATGCTATTAATACGAACAAACATTTTATCGAGTGCTTGCTGTGTGCCGGGGATCTTGCTAAGCATTTTCAGATTATTTTAGTACCTCTGCTCTTCTGTTCCATTGTTACACCCTTCTTCTCATGCAGCCTTTTTTTCCTGCAGAGCTTCCAGCCCTGTCACAGGTAGACCAACCTTAGTTTAGGAGACACAAGGCTTTACTTGACAGGACTAAGTAAGCCTTATCTGCCTCCATCCAGATTCCCCCTTCTCCCTAGATCTGTCCGTCCCCCCGCCCCCCCAAGAGGGTATTATTAGCCTTTGTGGCTGTCAGAAGAACAGGACCAGGCTAGCTGGGCTGGCTGGACTTTGGAGGTGACAGAGCAAATTTGGCCAGCACTCACCTGATTCTGATGCTTTCTGCCATAGCTTTAATGCTGGACTGGAACATCTCAGTATTTAAGTAAAAAGGAAGAGAGAGCACTGACAAAGAGGTGCCGGATACAAGAAACCTCCCATGATTGAAAGTCTGAGATGAACAACTGTAAAAATTTATCAGTGTTTCTCCCCCAGAATAGCCAGCTTAAACCCAGGCATCCTCTCAGCACTGAGATAACTGAGCCTTCTCCTTTCGCAAATTCTCCTGCATGGTTCAACTGCTCCACTGAATCACCACCAACTCTGTGAAGCCCTCCCTGTTTGATTTTCCCAATTAGAATGAATTCTTTGTATGGGGCCCTTTATTCATTTCATGATTTGTCAGATTTATCAAGATCTTCTCTTTAAGAATATTTACACACATACAAGCAACAGAGTCTGCCTCTTAGGACTGTTAGCCTCTTAACATAACAGCCATCCTTATGGTCCTATGTATGGTTATTATGTCCTCTGTCAAGTCAGTGCTGACTCATAGCAACCCCATGTGACAATAGAACGGCCCCATAGATTTTCTTGGTTGTAATCTTCACAGAAGCAGATCATCAGTTATTTCTCCCTTAGAGCTGCTGGGTGGATTTAAATGGCCAGCCTTTCGTTTAACAACTACTAGTGCCATGGTTGGCTTACAGTAGATTCCTTTGGCTGATAGTAGGTTTATGGTACAGACCAGTGAGCATCCACAGGTCTTTCTCATGTGTTGATTTAGGTTGTTGGTAATTTATAGACTTTGTGAGAACACATATCAAATCTGTCCTTCCTGCTTTTACATTAAGCAACTCCAACAATCATCACCTCTGATGTAAGAGATTTGTTTTGGGGGCAATTTCTCCATATCTGATGTACGTCCCTTTCACATTCCCTCTCTATAGTTAGCCTTATTGCTTTCAGTGGACCTGGTAATGTAGTTTTGTAATGTATCAGACTGCTGACAAAAAGGTCATTGGTTCGAATCTAGAAGCTCCTACATAGAAAAAAGGCAGTCTACTCTCAAAGATTTACAGCTTTGGGAAACCCATTGGCAGTTCAAGTAAAAGTTTGATTCAGCATCAGTCGGGTTTTTTAAATCCTTAACAGATTGGAGAATTGTGTCTTTGTTTTTGTAACTTGTAATTATTATATAGATTAATACTTTTTCCTTTTACTGCTGCTATCACTAGCAATAGTTTTGCTGCATTTGAGAGCCATGTAGTTCATGGTAATGTTTTTGAAGTTAATGAGAAATAATGCTTTAACACTCAGGGTATTGTTTTGATTGGATATTGTTGCCCATGAATCAAAATAAACAATAATTGCATGATACATTTTTAGATAGAAATTATAGTACCCTAAACTCAAAACCATTGAGTCAGTTCTCACTCATATCCATCCTCTAACAGGTTTCTAAGATAGTAAATCTTTTTGGGAGGAGACTTGCTTATCTTTCTCCTTTGGAGCAATTGGTGTGTTTGAACCATTGACCTTTTTGGTCAGCAGAATGTGATGTTATTCCTTAAATATAGTACGTACAAAAGCCTCTAATACAGATGTTTATTATGACTGTCAAAACTTATGTATCACATATCTTTTATGTATATTCTATGCCATTATATTTCTGCCAGAACTATAATTTTATATAGAAGATACATATGTACAGAAAGTTGTTGCATTTGTTAGGTGTCCCATTCTTTGAGATTTCTTTTTTGTTTAACACTAATAAAAACTAAAGTATCCTACACAATTGGAATGAAAGAAATGTAAAATTGCAAGCGTTTAGGGAGCTCTGGTGGCCTAGTGGCAAGAAGCTGCACTGCAATCCCAGAGGTATGCAGTTCAAATCCACCAGATGCTCTGCTGGAGAAGGAGGGACAGTCTCCTCCTGTACCAGTCAGATCTGATTTGACGGTACACGTAAAAAAAAATTGCACGAGTTTGCTGTTAAAACAGTATCTGTCTAAATCCAAACTCAACCTTTGAGATTTCTGAATTCTGTTTGTTATACCTGTTCTTCACTTACCAACTACCTCATTATCCAACATTTCATTTTTACAATAATAGTTAAAAACCATTTCTACTCTACAACTGTTTTGTGCACTAACAGTGTACATCTGGTACGAATGAATACCACAGTTTAAAGCAAGAGCTGTGTTCAGGTTATGTGTTGACTTGGTTGGACCATGATTCTCAGTGGCTTGGCAGTTATGTAATGATGTACTCGGCCTGTATTTTTGCATAATGCCAGTTTTCACACAACATTCTGGTCTTTAGAACCTAATCCTGTGGATAAGTGAGGAGAAAGGGTGTGTATAACCTTTTTTTTTTTTTTTTTTTTTTTTTGTTTAACACTTTTACAGGAGGACAAAAGTAGAGAATTTTTTTTTTTTTTTTTTTTTTTTTGTGTATAACCTTACAGGACCATGACATATGCAGTCAGATGTTATGTGGCACGTGACTGTAAGGATGCAGTTTTCCTGCTGCCCTTCTGTTTTTCTCATTTGCCTTCAGTTCACTTTGATGTTCCTCCCATTCTGATCATCTTTGTCAGTCAAAGCCTTTTTTTCCCCTGAATATTTACAGAGAAGAATCCTTCTTAAACATTACTTATCCCCAGTAGTGGAATTGGATATGTTGCTTCAGTGTTTAAGGCAGTTCTTACGTGCATCTGGCAGTAGGATACCCTGAGGAATACTGCATTTTAATCTAGCCCTAGGTGTGCGATTGATTCCTTCTTATATTCTTTTGTCTTAATGTACTGACTGTCTCTGGTATCAGACTAACCACAATTTTTACTATATTGGATTACATAATAATAAATATTTAAAAGCAGAGCCCTTTGGGAAGAATCAGCCTTATTATGCATAGATCCTTTATGTAAATGGAACTCATTAATGGGTTTTTCTAAACAATTTCTTGCAAATTTATTGAGCTGTTCTGTGTCAGGCATGGTGCTGAATGAGATGGAAGATTTACTGTTAAATAAACCATGGTTCCTGTTGAAAGAGCTTACTAGCTAATTGGGAAACACTGTCTAACTGTTGTCATTGTTATGTGCCATCGAGTTGAACCAACTCATAGTTTTCCAGAGGCAATAAATCACATGGGATAAGATTACTCATCATTTTCTTGTGGAGCAGTTGGTAGATTTGAACCCTCTACCTTTGGGCTGGCTGCACAACTCTTTCACACTAGAATTCCCTGTGTTCACTTTAACTCTAAAATTTGTGTTTGTGTTAAAAGCAAAACATGAGATCTGTTGACTCACTCTTAAGCCAAACAATAGGCAGGACTATAAACAAGGTGGTCCAGATACCTGGAGAAAAGACATGTCTTTAGATCAACCAACCACAAACAGTTAAAAGGGCAGCTTTTGCCCAGGCAACAAATCAGAAGTCAGGAAGGGATAGGAAAGAATTCCTCCTCCATTTCCTAGAAATGGAAACACAAAGAACTAGGTAGTTGCTGTGGTTACCTTGTGTAGGTATTGCAGTCAATATTGTGGAATAAAATGTACTGTAGTTGAATGGAAGACCAATTTACTTTGTAAATTTTCATTTAAATTATAATACAAAGTTTTTAAAATTAAAAGCAGTGTTGGAACATGAAACATTTTAGGTCATAGTGTTGAAGATGAAAGGCAACATCTGTGACAGTTTTTGAGCCCAGATTTTTGCTTTTACATATTTCATCCTGAGCAATTACCTGGTACAAGGTCAGAACTGGGACTACAATATGAAATTCCAGATTTTTTTTCACCCATTTAAGGTTTCTTAGT